GCAATGCCGAAAACACGGTTTGAATACGGGTAGCCGCAAAGTCGACAAATTTCAAATGCCAATAGCTCAAATATCTCAAAAATGGAGCATCGGCAGAGGGTATGTACAGTGGCACCACGCTCGGAAGGTTCCTGACAGGGCGTGTTCGAGGACGTTGGAAATTTAGACTGTACATTCTCATGCAAAATTTGACTCTACTAAATATAAATAAGTGGGCCACGCGATATGAGTTGCATTACTTCAAGGGGAAACAGTCAAATTAATAATTTTATTTCTACAAAACGTAAACACATTTAAGATTGTTAGATGTTCATGTTCAACACAATTTACAATTCTGATGCACTTCTGCTGTGTAAATATGGACAGTTATTGAAACAATCACATTGAAATTAATAACACTCACATTGACTAAATTAACACACAACCTTTAACTTTTTTCATTCATTATCGTCACTTGACCACTAATCATCATCGGAACTGCCGGTGTTCACAATAAATTGTACATTGTCAATATAGTTATTTGTTTCATAAGTACAAAAAATGTCAGTTTTCGGGACGAGGAAGATAGTTGCTGGACGACGCGTTAGCGGAGTCCAGCAACCTTCCGAGTCCCGAAAACGCATTTTTTGTACGAATAAAACATAAAATTTTTTCTCCAACCCCCTTTACTTTAAATTATATTCGAATTTAGATTCAGTTCACAGTTTCACTACTAGTTTGAGAACTTCTGCTTTCTTGTCCTCACGTGTCATGCCACTCTAGTTTTTAGGTTAACTTATAACCTATTCGTTCTTACTTCTCACCTCTCGCGACTTTGTAGGGAGCAAATCTTGAGGTAGCATGTTCTGCCGTTTCTAAAATCTCTGGCGGAGTGCAATCCATGTCGCTATCAGTTTCAGTCATTTTATTGTATACACAATTAATATTATTATATTTTGTATTGAAATAAAAAACTTACCATACAGTTTTTTTATTAAAATTAATTGAAATTAACTTTTTCAAATTTTGAATTCAAAATGACAGATAATAGTGCAATGGGTCTGAAGTAGATGGCGTTACGCGCGACGGCGGGTTGTATACGTATTAAAATTACATTCACGGTATATGTAAATTACGTTACACATGGTTTAAATAAAAATAGCGAGCGTAAATCATTTTCAATACATGTACATACGTATAGGTAACATCATTATTTGCATTGAATATGCAAAAATATTTGATATGTATGTATAGAAATATCTTACAACCTGCAATGTAAAACGATGTCAATGTGACATATCTCCGTGATTGTAATTTTTTAATTGGCCAAATTTCAAGGTCAATTTCTTTTTGGTACTAGGACCAAAAGTATCCACTTTTTGTACAGTTGCCATGGTGAAAGCGATTAATCCGCAAAACGTCAATTTTAGGTACCGAACACTGTCACAAAATAGCGTCTTATTCAGGTGGCTGGAGAAAAAATTCATTTGTCGTAGGAATGTTAATTGCTTCTAACCAAGAACGTATCACTTCCTTACGATTATTCATTGTTGGTGGCTTATTTATTTGAACACTGATAAGGTGCGTGAGTTTGCTGGTAAATTTGGTATAAGCTGCTTCTCTAACCACTGCATAAAGTTGGTATGATTCATATCATCGTAATAATCCCCTGATTTACTGTGCGACATCCTCTACAAAACCAGAATGACTACCAGCATACTACGATGTACCTCTGACCAGCCCTATTATAAACTTCCGATACTTCATCTGATTGTTAGCATTTACTCACTCCGTACGATGGGTGAATATAGGTTTCGTCCAAGTATATAACGGGTTTCTTGTCACATTCAGGTTGTTCATTTTCTTTTAATCTTCTTAAATAACAAGATGCCATACTACAATGTCACTTCTTTCCATTACCAACCTACGTTTGTCCCGACACTTCTTGTATCGAAAACCAAGTTTCAACAATTGCTTGCGAAGAGTTTTTCTTCCACCCATATGTTTGATCTTTTCTTGCACTTTTCTAGGAGCATTTTAAAATATCCTTTATTTATGTACAGATCGTCGCCTACTAAACATTGAAATGGCGGTAAAGAGTATAATGTAATGGGCATGCTTAAATTATTGCTCCAAAGCGTCTGTTTATTTACAAATGAAGCTGAAGCATCTGAAAAGTTATTGCTGTTTTGTTTTGTGATTATGTAACTGAATGCACCCAAAAATCGTGCTGATTTTCTTTCACGCACTGATGCGCATGAGTCCCAACGGCTCCGCCATTAAAAGTCGGCCACTGTAGTTGGAGTTATTTTTCCACGCGCAGGTCGTATGTACTGCCTCTATTTACTTATATACAACTCTGTGTTTGGAGTTGTGATTTTAATCATAATTACAGACATAAAAATGGCGACGAGGATTTAAAATTCGTTATTTCAGTTAAATTAAAGTGTTTTACAGTGTCGTGTATGTGCAACAATGGATCCAGAACAATTCAAGCAATTATTATTAATAGCGATCACTGAAAGCAATCGGTTACTCGCGGATAAATTTACTGCATCGGCGGAACGCATTGCAACACAAACAATTCAATTACAACCAGCTGAACAGGTAACACCTTCAAATATTACCTTACTATCAAATTTCGATCCTTTTGATCCAGCGAGGGAGAAATTTATTCAATATCAATCACGATTCGAAAATTTCCTGAAACTGAAGAAAATATTTCACGATAAACCTGTTTGTGCTCAACTATTTTTAAACAGCATCGGTTCAATTTCATATGATTTAATTTGCTCATTAGCTGCACCTAAGGATATCAGAGAGCTTACCTACACAGAATTAACGGAGCTGCTATCAAATCACTATCCTAAGAACAATGAACTCATTGAACAACATAAATTCGTATCACGGTTGCAATCAACAAATGAATCCATCTCAGATTATGTCGCTGTGCTTCGAAAATTTACATCAAATTGTGCATTTATCTGCTCATCGTGTAACGCTAACGTTGCCGATTTATTTTTAAGGTCACAATTTATTCGTGGCATAAAAGATTCAACAATTCGAGAACAGTTACTTCAAATCAAAGACCTCACATTTTCAGAAGCCGTAAATAAAGCCCTTGCACTAGAAGCTTCAAAAATTGATAACCAAACCATTTCTAATAGTGCTCGAGAATCTTCGAATATTGCTCCTTCTGTCCAGAATGTTAATCGAGTTAACCCGAAGCCGCGGTCCAGATCTCAAAATCGTACACCTGCCCATCATTTTAAAAATCAATCAAACAGTCAACAGCGCTACACCTCACAATCGAGTTACAGACGTACTCTTATCGATTATGCTTCTTTGGGTCTTGAAGGTTTATGTTTACGCTGCTCCAAAAATAATCATAGAACACAAGACTGCAAAATCAATCGCACACGTCTTCATTGTAATGCCTGCAACAAAGAAGGTCACATTGCGAAGGTCTGCATCACGTCCCTCCTTTCATCAAAGAAACGAGACACGCCAGTTAAAGCAATCGACTATGCGAGTATAACAGACCAACCAAATGATGTTTATGGTATTGGCCAATTAACCGAAGGAACCGTAAATAAGCTTGTTTTTGATATTTTCGATACAGATGCTACTGATTCCTGTAAATTTTTCACAACAGTGCTGCTCGAAGACAAACCCCAAAAATTCGAAGTACCTAGATTCAGGCGCTGCTCGAACCTTATTACCAAAATATTTGTTTGACGAACTTAACATGCCTTCAAATACCCTCCAGCAGCCTCCCGATCTTCGATTCCGATCATACACAGGAGAAATTTTCGATCCCTATGGATACGCTACAGTCAAAGTCCGGTATAATAATCACATTTCAACTGAAAAACTCTACGTAGTGGAAAATAAATTCACTCCATTAATAGGTCGTGTTTGGATTCGACATTTAAACATTTCACTCCAAGAACCTGACTCACAGATTACAGCAGTAAATGAGATGTCAGTTCAGCCTGATCCTACAAAATTAATACAGCGTATCGAAGAGAGATTCTCACAAATTTTCGAACAAACAATTGGTATTCTTCCAGCCCACACGAGCTACTTACAGCTTCGACCAAACGCAAAACCAGTTTTTCTAAAGCCTCGCTCATTACCATTCGCTCTTCGAAAACCAGTCGAATCAGAACTTGAAAAATTAGAAAACGATGGTATTATTTCAAAAATTGAAAATTGTGATTGGGCTTCCCCTCTGGTGATTGTACCCAAATCTGATGGTTCGTTGCGACTTTGTGTCGACTACAAGACTACAGTGAATCCTCAGCTGTGTGAAGCACATCACCCAATTCCTCGAATAGACGAAACCTTGCATAAATTAAGAGGAGCTCGATACTTTTGTCAACTAGATTTATTCAAAGCATATATGCATATTCCTATGGATGACGAAAGCGCTATTATCCAGGCTATTTCTACTCATATCGGAACCTACAGAGTCAACAGGCTGGCACAAGGCATCAAAACCGCACCCAGTATTTTTCACAGCGTTATGGACAAAATTATAAGGAACCTTAAAGGTGTCACAACATACTTCGACGATATAGTCGTATATGGAACTAATTTAGAGGAATGCTACAGTAACCTCATAAGTTGCCTTGAAATCCTCACAGAAAATAACTTGCACATCAACCGGTCAAAATGCAACTTCTTCACCAAGAAAATTACCTACTTAGGATACGTCATTGAACACAACAAAATTTCAAAATGTCCCAGGAAAGTAGCCAGTGTCCTGGAAACACAAAGACCGAAGGACGTCGAAGAGGTACGTCGATTTCTAGGTCTTGTAACGTATTATTCAAAATTTATTCCGGACGCATCATCGAAAACATACCCTTTGCGTCAATTATTGCTCAAA